AATAATAAATATTCTTACTAAATTACTTCCTAGACCGGCTTTTAAACTACTATAATTAAAATTAAGGCTTATTAGCCTTACTAATATTAAACCTTAATTATAAGAAAAAGGCATATTAAAATTAGTATATTATTATAACTAGCTTACTAGTTCTTCTAATATTAGGTTTAATTACTAATTTAGGGTTCTTTACTCTTATTTATTATATATTACTTACCAAGTTTATAAAACTTATTAGTATATTATTATTTTAATTACCTTTAATTTATTAGCTAATTAATAATATATTAGAAAAAGCGAACTTAATATTACTAATATTACTAAAGAATAATAGAAATAAATTCCTTACTTTAGACATTTTTCTTCTATTTCCAGAACTTACTTTCTTATATCTAGTTATTTTATAGATTATTAACCTCTAATATATTAATTTTCTATTAATATATTAATTATTTTCTAATAAATAAATAGTTTACTAGAAGTAAAATATTAGTAATAATTATATATTTAAAGTAAACTATTATTTTACTTACTATCTTTATTATAAATAATAGCTATAATATATAAATCTTAAACTTATATATAATATATTAACTATACTTATAAATAATTAAAACTATATTAATATTATTAAATTTCTTTATTTTATAAGCTTTTATAATTAAAGTTTCTATTTTCCTATTTATTTCCTTATTCTTTTTCTTTCTTCTTTTCCCTTTATTATTTCGTTTAATCTTTAGAATATCTATTAATACTAAAAGGTAATCTGCCTAGGGTAGTTTTAATATACTTCGAATATTAAACCTAAGGTATTTAAGTATTATTTATTATTTAGATTTTTTATTTAAATAGATATCTTTAAGGACTTTTATATAATAGCTAATAGAAGTATAGGAACTAATTTTGAGCCTATAGTTATATAGTAAGGGGCTTAAATCAATTCCCTCTAAACCAAAATAGTAGAGAGCTATATTTGAACCCTTAATTCTCTAAAATCTTAGCTAAAGAAAAGGCTTAATTAGGTAATAGAGAGCCTAAATCGGCCCCTTGAATCCAAGTAATAGAGAGCCAGATTTGGACCCCTTTAGATCTAAAAATAGACTAAGCTCTATAAGCCCCTTTATAGTACTACTTGTCCTTATAATATGCGATTCTACTTAGTTCTTATTCTTTTTATAAGACTAGATAGGAGTTTTATAATTCCAGGAATTATAAAACCCTTACTAGCTCTTAATTATTATTTATTTTCATATCTTTACCTTTAGAATAAAGAGCTAGTAATAGTACTTAAATAGTTAATGTTTATTCTATAACCTTTAAATCTAATAATAACAAGTAATTACTATTAACTAGATTTGAAAAATCATTATTTATAAGAATAACTCTAGCCCTACTCTTTTAATAATATTAGTTCGTTACCTATAGTCCCATATATTAATTCAAGTATGGATTCTACCACATTAAAAAGCGTATCCCACTCACTTAAACCGGTTATAGCCAGACGAGCCACTAGAATAATACTATTAGAAAGAGGACATGGCATCCATTTAGTTACCACGTGCTTACTAAATACACCTACCTCGCGAATAAGCGTCTCTGAAATTTACGAATAGCTTACTAAAAAGTATTTACGCTACCAATTTACGAAATACAAGGTCCGCAAGGTTCTCTTACATGATTCTAAGAGGAAGAATTCTAGATTTATTATTACTAACGAATATCGCATAGCGGAGTGCCGCTTCAATGGACTATTTGGCCTGGAACAGAGCCTTAACTCCGCCGACTATTTAGTGGCCCTCCCCCCGCTAAGTCCCAATTTCCCTAGTTCTATAGTGGCCTTTCTCAACAAATTTACTACGTCCTTTGCAACCTAAGCTTTGATTACTACGAGACTTTTGTAAGATACCAATAGCAGGTTCATTCCAACCACGCAACTGTGTCCCCCTCTATCGGCGAAGCCCCTCCTGCAGAAGACAGAAGTGAGGCCGTTCAAAACCCCGGTATAGTAATCAGGGAAAATGGCCCGCTTTAACAGAGGCTTCGAGACCGTCCCAGGAGGGAGTTATCTGTCGGTGGCAGCACGAATCATAAGTTGTATACGAAGGCCGCGATCGTATTAGCAAGAGGGGTAGTGGAGCTGCCACGAATAAAGATTAATGGAACTAGCCTGTATAACCTTCTTCCTCGATTAATAGCCCGGAAGCTCGGATTACCTCTATATTTCGGCGGCCGTATTAGAGTAAGACTCGCTAACCGCACAGTTCTGACTGATTAATATTGCCAATTGACTATTAAAGTAGCTGGCATTAAAACGGCAACCGATACTTACGTGGTTTCCGGACTATCCTCCTTTCTGCTCGGTTGGGGATAGACTCAAGAGGTCAATTTGTTAAGTGACCTTGGAAATTATACGTATTATATCCCAGGGCCCTACGGGAGCCTGAGCAAGCTTCCTGTTCCTGTTATGACCGAAGCCGAAGCCGAGACGGAGTATGTAATGGAAGGGGAGATTATAATAGAAGCTGCTATGATAAGAGAAGAGACTTTACCGGCTAGAGAGACGCCAACCCCTCTTGGGGGTAATAAAGATCATAGCGATAAGGAGTGCAGGCTTAATGAATTAGCAAGCGTTAATATGTCTGTAACGGAAGATGAGACAATAAGTGATGCTGAATTTTTCGCAGATACTGTCTCTTGTCAGAGCTCAGATGACGAACTTTTCTATATTGATCGAAGGGAACTAGGAATGGATAGGAGCAAGGACTGAAAAGTAAGGAGAGGGTAAGGGGGAAGGTCTGGCACATTACTTGCAAGAGAATACTCCATGTATTATCAATCTTTATTAGCAAGACAGGCCTGATTAGATTGGCATAAAAGCAGCGAAGTCGTTTAATTAATGTGAGAAGAATTGTAACTGTAATATTATATAACGCGGTCGACCATGTTGAAGAGAGGTTCTGGATCTCGGGGAGGTTCTGGATCTCGTTAAGCACATTAACGTTCAGGAACAAGTTAGCATATAATATGAAATGAGAAGGTGAATTGAGATGTTGTGCTAACGTCCGTCCCTGCGTCCCGAGACGCACCCTGTCACGAGACGAATCTATAGTTTTGGAATCGCAAATTTTTTCTTAGTAAGTCTAAGTTATGAAGTTGTTATTAATATATTACTTTCTTTAACTATTTCCCCCTAAGGAGACCACTTAGTAATAAGAAAAAGAGTACGGTTAATTATACTGTCAATTGTTTTAATCACGCTACTGATCGCTGCTTTTGCTGTCCCCCCCTATTTAATCGCGATTATTAAAGTCTTTTTAAAATTCGGAGTACTTGAGGAAAGGTCCTATTACGAAATAATATAGCTCCAAATTTTAAAGACAATTAGTGAGGAAAAGAATGCAGTCCGGGAGTTACGCCGGTGTGATGAGAGGGTCCATATGTTTTAGTGCTTAGTAATGTATATTAGCCTAGATAAAATTTACTATTGTGGTACGGCAGGCCGTACTCGTCGAAAATCATGTTGTTTTGGCGGTTTTGAGGTTTAGGTCATATGATAAAGGCCGCGGCCTTTTACACGTGACTTGCGGAAATCACATAAGAAAGCTGGTTTTTCTGTAGACTTAGAAAACAATCCTTTATGAGTATTTAATCAATTGAGCTTTTGCACACTACATACTGTTTATGCTTTACTATTTACGCTTTTGATTTATTATTTTGCTATCAAGTCACGTTTTGCGCTCTGGTATACTTTATATGGGTTTTTGTCTTGTCGCAGTTTCCCTCCCACACTATGTTCACGCCCGGGCTCGCTATATTTAACTTAGCCACGATTCTAAGGCTTAGTTATGTGTGTAGTATAGGAGTAGGTTTCTTTATTATAGAATTCGTTAGTGATCTATCTACCTCTATAAGAGCGGATTCTCCCTTGGATGCTAGGGCTGAATATCGAAGAGGGTTATTATTCTATAGTAAAGTAATAAGCTGCGAGAACATTATTGAGACACAAGCAAAAGCATGATGCAAAAGATGCTGTCCCTATATAGCAGGATTCGATTATAGCTTCCTCCTTAACTCTCTTGAAATTTCGGATGAGTCACTATGCCAAGACGCTAGAGTCAGCGCCACTGGCACGGGCCAAGCCCCTATCTGGCATAGTCTCAACTTTCGGATCTTAGCCTTATCTAATAATCCCCTAAATTAGTCCTCTAAACCCTAATTCCGCGACTTTACTCTCTCGTGACGCTAGCAGATATCCCACCAAGAAGTGCCAGGCCGCGGAAGGACAATGGAAGTCTATCTGGGTACAAGTACCAGGATATACATATTAGTGAAGGCGCGCGTAGCTTTGCCTTTTTCGGTAAGGCCCAGTGCAAGGGCAATATTCCGATATACCTCCTTACGAGCGTGTCATTCTTATTAATAGATCTCTTTCCACTATACCATCTTTTGTGTGATAGGGAGCCCATTAGATAAAAATGATCTACTATTCCTGCACGGCGGGCTAAACGATCGTGGGCGATGGTGAGCCTCGTAAGAGTAACCCTTGTAGAACTTCTCTTGGCACGACCTAACGCGCCGCTCTATGCCAGGGACCACCCTAGCCGGCAGGGCAGCGGGAATTGCTATCGTACTTTCGTATAAGGGTCGCTTTCATTAGATATCAACTCCTCTCCGCTCCTTTGCTCGTCTTTAACATGTGTTCCTGCGAATTAATCCCACTATTGCTCTTGCGACATTCTTTGCAAAGCATTAGGAAATCTTTCATGGCGCCACTATGCACCCTTGTAAAGTCTTATTAGCAGGCTAAGCGAGCTAACTAAGCCCTACCCGCCTCGCCCTTGCCACTGGGAAAATCGTCCGATCATAACGGTTCTCGCCATACTATTGTCTACGCCTATTATGTGTATCTATAAAAAAAATGGCTCCAAAACCCTTTAAGCTATTCAAACGCGTTATTAGAGGCTATTGATCAAAAGCCTCCGAAACATCTAACAGCAAACATGATAACGACTAGCAAGGTAGCCCTGCTATTTTATTTACCTTATTGCCAACACCACCAATAGGTATAAAAGCCCTCCCTAAGTCACAAAAGGATTTTTACCCACAATCTCTAGCGAAAGTCAAACATTCGCCTCTTAAACAAACCATATACTCAACTACACAGCCAGCATCTTCGCCTCAACAAGTAACGTCGGCTAGGAGTCCTTCTCCCACAGCGTCTTCTAACCAACCTGCCCTGCACGGAACACACACCTCGCCAACCCTGCCAGAACAATCGAGGACTATAGCAGTGCCATCGCTTTGGGACCGCGCGTATGAGGCCCTCAGAAAGGAAGATAGACAGTTAGTAGATAATTACGAGAAGCTGCTTTCGAGAGAGTTAGAGAAGACAAGTATGTATTAATAGCGGGGCCTTAGTTACTGCCGCTAACCCAGGCGCAGCCTTAGATTCGAATACATCGAATAGCGGACCACTTAATAAGACTGAATAAAGCTTGGACGAGACCAATAACCGGATTGACACGAACTTTCAGGAATATCGAGCATAACTAGACGGTATAATTAAGAGTGGCCTATAGCGAATGGAAGAGAAGAAGATCAAATACACTATTACTGGCCATGAATTTGTCCTGTAGGATCAGATTGCGCAAACTATAAGGCTAGTGCAAGGGATAAAAGATTTTGTTGGTACTGCCGTCGCGGTGTCTCTATTAGCTTCTTTAGCCTGGGCCGGCGTCTGTGTCATTCTCCTAATCCTCACGAACCCTAGCGCCGCAGAACAAGCCAATAGTGATGGATTCACATATGTTACCTCCCGCATGCGCCTCTACGTTATGCTTGAGCCCCTGCTATTGCCGAAGGATCAGGACCAAAATGTTACTATTCCCAAAGATTTAAAGGCTTAATTTGAGTCCGATATAATAGAGCTATATTAGCATATCCTCGACTTCTAACTTAAAAGTGTTTTGCGATTCTATGGGACGTGGCTTGCAAAACTTGGACGAGATATGATCTAATATAAAGACTGGAAAGGGATGCTGTCCGAGGTCCAAAAACGCGAAAAGATTGTGGACATCGACTTCATGAAAATAAATGATTCAGCTTCCAGAAAAGAGCTGGTGGAACTTAACAAGAACGCAAGTAGATCCCTCGAAACCATGCAACAGATCCTGTTGGTGGCTGCAAGGCAGCTCCGCGTCGCTAGAGAACAGCGGGACATTGCGCAGGAATCCCTCCAGCTCCAAAAGTATAACCTTCCCATAGAGGACAGCGCCCTTTATGGCAGTGCCAAGGACCAGCACATTCCGCCATGCCAGGAAGGTACCAGGGAGGGTACAGTCGCTTGCAAAATCGGCTTCGTCCTTTTCGCCTAAAAAAATTGTGAGCACAGACCACCTCATCCGTTTTTGGCGCAAGCTTGTCCTGCACCATAGCTCTTTGTCATCCCTTGTACTCCGAAGTACAGTAAGGAAAGGTGCCTGCCGAGTTTATCCGGACAGGATGGGAGGCACGCAAAACGGTAAGCAAATCTTTTGCGCTTATACAGTAGAAGGCGAATTAGGTGTCGCTGGTTTTTTAGTTAATTATTTTTAGCGGGGTCCATTTCCAGACACTTGTGGCTGTGCACCCCTGCCCGGTTGTACTTCCAAAGTACAGTCACTTAATTGTAACCGCATTAGCCATTTTTGGCGCTGACACTGCGAGCGTTTGTAGTACCTGGTCACTAGCTTGATCTTGGCACATTGGATTACAGTACCGCCGCTTGCAAAATCGGCTTCGTCCCCTTTCGCTTCAAAATACTCTGAGCACAGGCCACATTGGCCACTTTTGGCACTGGCACCGTACGTATTTGTAGTCTATAGTATCGCATTGTAACTTTATTTCACGAGCTGCCCGGCCTCGCGCTGCGCGCTCCGCTTGAGGTTTTTGAATTTGGAGGCTTTTCTTGTAAAAGCTATGAACTAAGCTACATAATTTCCTGTGTGGCACGGGAGCTTAAGGAAACATCCACTGCCCTCCCATCTTGAACCATTCGCCTGACCGTCTTATGTGCTTCATCCAGACATTGGGCCCCCATTCCAATACACTCTTCGCAAATGTTGAAGTCCCCATCAATGCAGATTCGGCAGTTGTGATGAGAGACGGAATCGGAAATTCTGAATGAGCACACATCGCAAAGGATAAGGCCTGTATCATCCGCTGGGGAGGATATTGCAATGTTTGATTCTCCGTCGCGAATAAAAACACCTCTGGCTTTATACTGCTCGAGCAAAAGCTCAACGATAGTGGAAAATCCTTTTCTTGCAGCCCAGGTTAAGGGGGTCTGGCCGAATTTGTCCCGGCAGCCGATATCGACATTGTTATTTTCTAGGAGCAGCTTCACCGTCTTCTCGCGACCGCTTCTTGCTGCTACTAATAAGGGAGTCGACTTGAAAATATCTCTAGAGTTGGGGTTGATGCTACGTATGCCTAGAAGAAGCTTGGTTGTCGACTCATGACCTTTCCATGATGCGATATGGAGGGGCGTCCGACCGAATTTGTCTGTACAGTCTAGATTAACCCCATTGGAAAGTAGGACCTCTATCGCTAGGTCGTGATTGTTCTTTGCTGCCCAAAATAACGGTGATCGGCTGTATTTACTTTCCTTAGTTTCTAGGTTAACTTTACCCGTGGCAAGTAGCAGATGCATCACTTTGACATTGCCATTTGATGCCGCCAACATTAATGCAGTCCATCCTGTCTCCCCTTTGGCATCTGGGTTAACGCCGTTCTCGAGTAGGAGCCGTACAACGGCCTCGTTCCCGTCCTCGGCATTTTCCCAGTTCATGGCAGCCCGCAACAGCGGCGTCTGACCGTCATTATCCTTCGACTCGATCTCGGCACCGTTCTCGAGTAAGAGCCGTACCACAACGTCATTCCCGTTTTCCGCAACATACGATAGCGGCGTCCGACCGCTATTATCCTTCGACTCGATCTCGGCACCGTTCTCGAGCAAGAGCCATACCACAACGTCATTCCCGTGCTTCGCAGCCCACGACAGCGGCGTCTGACCGTGATTATCCTTCGACTCGATCTCGGCACCGTTCTCGAGCAGTAACCGTACCACAACCTCGTTCCCGTTCTCCGCAGCCCACGACAGCGGCGTCCGATCACCGGGGCTCAACATTGACAGCAATCCGTAACCCTGTTTATCCCTCGAGTTAACAGAGACTTTGCCAGTAGCGAGTAGCAGCCGTACTACAACCTCGTTTCCGTTCGCCGCAGCCCACGACAGCGGTGTCCGACCGTGACTGTCTTTCAAATCAAGATTATTGTTACTGATTAAGAATTGTACCGTATCATCGATTCCGAAGTATGCTGCTAAGTGTAGGCCTGTTATTTGCTTTGGAATATGTTGACTATATTTCCTGTTCCATGACCTTTTGACAGCCATTAATGCTTGACTTAATGCCTCGACTTGAGCTTTCTTCTTGAGAAAGCTAATGACTTCTGGGATTAACATAGAAGCCTCTCGAGCATGATGACCCCAGTTTTGTGCTGCGTAGTTATATAGCTTGTTTGATTAAAGCCGTTGTTCGAACTCTTTATCATTTGGGCAGATTCCACTCTCGAACTCGTTAAATGAGAGGTACGTAACATACATTGTCGTAATATTAATTTGCGCATCAGGAAACCATTGCCTTTGTATTCGCTCGAAGTATTCCTGCGTTATATAGTGGACTAATCGAATAATCCCGCTTTCCTCATCGATTGTAACTAACCCAGTACATACAGAGACTATGTCTTCAAGTTGTGGTAGATTCTCTTCGTCGAGCTTAGAGTCGCTAACCTCTATAGCAAGGGCATATTGGAGTTCCGTTATAGTCAATGGTCTCTTTGCACACATAATCCAGGATAGGACTTGTTTTGCTAGCTCTTCTTGATCTTGTAGTTGCCCTTCGATACGGCCCATTACGTCATTATATATATAATCATATATATTTATTCCCGTAGGTAGCTTCGCAATAGCGGTTCGAATAGCTTTAGCTAATCTCTTTCTAATTAGAGAATCAAGATAGAGCTGTATAAGGAGGAACCTTTAAATACGTTAGTGCTTCGTCTTGCTTATAGAGGATATAGGGAACCAACATTCCCTTTACTAATAGCACAATCCCAGTCTTGATCTTCTCTTGTAGGTCCGGGCTACGACTAACGAAGGCTGGGAATCGAAATATATAGCCATTGAGATATCGTCACACGTCTTCTTTACTAGTACGAATCTCTAGTGAAATACTCCCTTCAAACCTCTCCATAACCTCGGGCAAGAATCTTGAGGTCGCAAAAACATTTGCTCTTAACTTAGCTTGAGCTAGGAAGATCTCTATCAAGAGTCTCATTCGGCAGCCATTAGTCGTTCGATATTCGTCGAGTGTATTAATAATAATAAAGACTTTCGAAAACATTGCAGTTATAGACTGAAACGTTTTCAATATTTCATCAAATAATGGTCGTATTCGTTTGTTCTTATGTTTTTTTATAGAGGGCCTTTATACTATCTAGTAAAGACGCCCTCTCTTGGCTCAACTGCTTTAACAAGCTTGCAAGCAAGTCATCGGCCTTCTGCTCGTCTTGCCGGCGGAAGTTGCAATAGAGGTATGCAATACCAATGTCTGCCTCACTCCGGAACCGCATAGTCAAGTCGTTAATAGTGATCGCAGTAAGGATTGTCTTTCCCGCTCCAGGAATCCCCGGACAAAACAACGTCTTCTTCGGCGTTTACACCCATGTTTGATATTTCTCCGAATTAATAAGCCATTGTCCAGTCCCCGCTTCTCGCCGATTAATGAAATCGCTTTGTTATAGAGCATAATCGATAGTAGTAAGCCAATCGAGAATAATTTGTTATTCTTGATCGTTTTGTTTCTGATTTAATTGATCTATGCCACGTTTTGCCTCAGTTATTATTTGACTATATAAAACCAGTTACCAGATATTGGATATATAGAGGTCGGATATAGTTGCCTTGATATTTCTCCAAGGAATGTACTGAGCAATAGGACATTCGATGTAATCCGATCTCGAAGCTTGCGAATGTCCTCTGGCTCCAAATTGAGTCGCTTCCAAACCCTCTTTGCCTTTATACTCAAACTCCCACCCTTGTATTCCAATACTTGATATTTCCTCGCTGTTTCCTCTAGTTCGTTGAGGACATTTCGGCAGCTACTAGAAATTTCCTGTAGGCGTATCTGTTGCTGATCGTTGAGTTCGTGGTCCGATAGGTTAATATCAATATCTTGGAGGGTGATTGACAGGCCTCTGACCCTGTTCCATTAACGAAGTCAGCATTGTTCACTCAAAAGGTAGCCAGGGCGACGTCCTCGTCAGAAATAGCTTTGAATTGGCCTGGCGCGTTGACGAATTCCTTCCGGATCCTGTTCGCAAGCTCGATCGCTGCGATGAAATTGCCACTGCTAAAACCAAAACTCATCGTGATGTCAAGCACAGCTCTGTTATTGGCATATGAGGAGGTAGGTCAAAAGAGAGCAGAAGGATAGAATAGGGAGTGAAAGAAGATTGCCTTCGGTTTCGTAGACACGTCGTCTGCACTCAGCCTCACGAGGCTGGACTGCGCTCGCTAGGCAGACTTGGGCTTACTGTGGTATACGTTGGCAACGTCGATCTTGCATGGGAGGTTGAGATTGGCTATCCGGGCCTCATGAAGGCGGGCTGAGGAGTTAGAAGTATGTCAAACTGCTACTCTATGAAATGCCCTGGTTGAAGAAGTCCCACAGTCGTCCGCAAAGATTTAGGAGGCACGGTCCGCCGCATAGATCGTGCGCAGGCCAAAGGTATCAACACGTGCAATCGTCTACAGAATGCGGCGTTACGACTAACCCGACACATTCTTGCCGCAACGCGAGTATCTGGAGTCTTACAGAGCGTCTACCATGGAATCTGCCTATTCTGCATACTTAGGAGCGACTTTGATCGGTACAGGTATCACAACTCGTCGAAATTTTTTGATGGGGTCGCACGGCCCTTAGACGGTCACGTTACTGCAGATTTTGTATCGAATGAGAGCTCTTTTAGAGGATTAGGTTAGACGAGTACCTTGCATCGCGCTGTGCGCTGCGCAACCTCTGACAGAGCAACTTTAACAGAGGTTGCCCAGGTACTTCCTCCGGAGTACATGGAATGACAGAGGAGCTACGGCGCCAGCGCCAAAAAGGGATGAGGTGGTCTGTGCTCACAATTTTTTTAGGCGAAAGCGGACGAAGCCGATTTTGCAAGTGACTGTATCCTGGGTGAGATCACTGTATGGGCAAACCTGACGAAAGCGAGACTATCTTTTGGCTCCACGGCCCTGCTGGAACCGGCAAATCAGCCATCTCTCGAACTATCGCGCGTAACTTCGCGAAGACTGGACAGCTCGGAGCTAGCTATTTCTTCAAGAGACCTGGTACGGGCTGATTTAGCGACGATACTGCAACTATATTTTTTTTTCGCAAAATCAAAATTATGAATCGCGGTTTTTTTAATGGCCACATTTTATATGGAAAACACACCTAATTATGGCCAAATACGCAATTCCCATGCATTACAGTCCACTGCGCCCAGTAATATTACTCTATTCTCGCTTTTTTGAACTTCCCCCAATTATCCCTCTGCCTATTCCCCGGCCTATAATCACCATCCCCTGGTAATTCCTTCTCTCCATCGTCAAGATCTGAATTATCGTCGTCATCGCTTGATATAATCACCTCCCGCTTCCTCTTTAATATAGACTTCAGTGGAGGTTTAGTGGGTGGAGCGGGAGCGAAGCCTAGTAAAAACGTCAGATCTACTAGTATATTTAAATCTATTAACTTACTAGGTATAGAAGCAGGAGCAGGAGCAGGAGCAGGAGAAACCGTAATTCTAGCTTCTAGCATAGGCATATCGTCGTCTGAATTAAAATCGTCAGAATTCAGGTCGTCACCTGACCAATTCTTTGAAGGAGCAACCTTCTCCCATATAGCTTCGATCTGTTGATTAGGAGTCGAAGCAGGTAAAGAAGATACCGTAGATGATACCGTAGATGTAACTGTAGATATAGATACTATATTAGGGGTGGTATCAGGAGAGTCTCCTAATGGAGGGCTAAAATCTAGGAGGTAAGGCATCTCTCTATCCCTTCTTTCACGCTTATCCTGAATCTCGTCGTCTCTTGCCTGAATTTTATTAATATCTTAATTAAATATAAGATAAATATGCTTTGGTATTCTCTTATTTAATTAGCTAAAGTGGGATAATAAGTCATTAATAGTATTTTCAGCTTCATATATTAGATTAGTCACGTAGTCGATTCTCTTGTTTTTGTTCTTTGGCTATACCTGATTATATTAATACTAATTATATTAGGATACTAATAAATAATAGCTTACTTTAGTAGTAAAAGACACCCTATTTATACGTTTTAAAATTATAATCTATTAATTAAGCTCCTAGTCTTCAAGTAACGGAATTAATAATAAAAAAGCCTTGGCTAAATATATAGCAAACTTCTTATATAATAGTTCTTGACTATAATAAAGTATTATATTAGTAAAGAGGTATATATTTCTATAAATAAGCTTTATATATATATTAAACTATTCTATTATCCATAGCTTAATTTGAATATTTTGAGCCTCCCGATACTCTTCTAAGCTAAGGAACTTCTTTATAGTTAAAATAGGTATACTTCTCCTAGTAAAGCTACTCTCTAGTTCTTCTATTTTATATATATATAATATAATAGAAATAAGAATCTTATATTATTTTTTAATAATAAAAGTAAGAGGAATTAGCGATTTACTTTTACTAAAAGCCCTTATACGTGTTCCCTGGCCGAGAATAAGGGAACTAAGGGCTTTACTTCTTTTAAAAGCTAAACCTAATAAAATTAGTATTAATATAGGAATTAAATAGATAAATACGCACTTTTGCCCTGAGCTTCCTAATAGAAATTACTATATAATTACTCTAAATACTCGAGCTTAGCCTACTATTTCCTCTCACGTATTTCTAATTTAAGGACCTTTTTTAAGAGATTTATACCCGGGAAGTAGTAAAAAGAATAGGAATTAGCTAAGATATTAATTCCTTAATCTCTTAATAGCTAGGTAATAGTATTCTAAAGTTGAGTTTAACTAGAAAATAGTATACTATCTAATATAATAGTTAGTATAGCTAAAGTAGGAATAATAAAAGCAGGAAAAGAAATAGCTAGGTTAATTATACTATATAGTAAATACTTTATTATAGAGGAAAGATATAATACCTCTCGTATAAAACAAGAGTTTTATAGATTAAGATTATTTATTAAAAACATTTAGAGATAATATAATAAGGATCTGATTTATAATTAAATATTAGAAGAAAAATATAGCTAATAAATCTATAATTTAGTAAATAGTAATATAAAGTTAAGTAATAAGATAGAACTATAATATATTAATATTATTTTAATTCTTTAGCCTATATTCCTATAACTTTTTCTCTAGGGAATTATATATTAGAGACTTATTTTAGAGGTTATTAATAATAGTATATTACTAATATATAAAAAGAAGTAAATAGAAGAACTATAAGAAATATCCCTTAGTATAAGTTAAATTCGGATATATTTTATTTATTTCTAGTATTATTTCTATATAAACTATAGTTTCCTATATTAGAGGCTATAGAATATTAAGTAAGGGGCTATAGAAATTAAGGAAAAGAAACTAAATTTCATATAAAAAAAGACATTTTTACTAAATATATCTTATAATTACTTTAAAAGTTCTTAAGAACTATTAATTTAATAAAGCTAGTATTAATAGAGAATTTAATCTATATTATGAATTTCTTATTACTAAAATAATAAGTTAATAAAATAATTATAAAAAATATAGAGAATAAAGAAATAAAAATTAATTTTCTAATAAGATAAATTATATAACCTTTTAATATTAAACTACCTATAATTATATAAATTTAACTAATTAAGCAAATTACTATTAGCTTCTATAATTAATTACTTTAGTAAAAATTAATGTTTTTAGCTAGTTCTTTCTTTAGAATATATATTAATATATTTCTATTTAGTTTCTCTAAGGCCGGGTAAACTAATTAATATTTATAGGAGAAATTTCTAGATTATTTTTCTTTTTTACTTTAGGCTTAGATATATATTTATTATTTATAAACTATTTATACTCTTAATTATTTATAACCCAATTATTATTTGCCTTATTAAAAGTAATACTATTTATAGTAAATCTAGTATTCTCTATATTATCTTTAATCTTTGCTTTATTATTAGAGCTAATATAAGTGAGATTTTTATCTCTATAACTAGTATTTCTTCTTTTATTAATAAACTAAATATTATCTTAATTATTATAATTTTTTAGCCTTATCTTTTCTAGTTCTATAGCTATTTCTAGTAATGAATTTCAATTATATATATTTTTAGATATTAATAAAAGCCCTAGCTTTAAATAAGTATTCTTTATATTAATTAGGTAATTACTAATTAATTCCCTTAGATATATATTATAGTATAGTAGGCTATACTTATTAAAAATTATATTATTTTAGCGGTTTTAAGGTTTAGGTTATATAATAAAGGCCGCGGCCTTTTATATATAACTTGCGGAAATTATATAAGAAAGCTAGTTTTTCTATAGACTTAGAGAATAATCCTTTATAAGTATTTAATTAATTAATCTTTTATATACTATATACTATTTATACTTTATTATTTATACTTTTAATTTATTATTTTACTATTAAGTTACGTTTTATATTCTAGTATATTTTATATGGGTTTTTGTCTTATTATAGTTTCTCTCTTATATATTTTATAGTAAGTAATATAGGGAGGATAAAAACTTTATAATTAAGGTAATACTTTTATAAAGTTCTAAGAAATGTCTATAAGGCGAATTATTAGCTTAGTAAGTTAGAGGAAAAAAAAGCTATTATAATATCTTAAGCCTAAAGCTAAAATATTAAGAATATATAAGTATTAATTTTAGTATCTTATATTAATTTCTAATATATCTAGTAACTTAGATACGGGTTAGCTATAAAATATAGTTACTAGTATAGTATATAGAAGTAATAGAAATAGAGGCTAATTATAAAAGGAAAAGAAGTAAAGAAAATAAAATAAGAAGAATTATACTAAGATAATATAAGTTAGATCTTAGTTAGAATTAGACTTTAGTACTCGGAAATAAGATTATATTATTAATTTATATATTATTTTTAGTTATAATAAAAGTCGGAATTAAAATAGCTTTAATCTTAGTAATAAAGCTTATTCTTAAGTCTAAAAAGAATACCTAAAATAAAAAATACCCTTAATTTTAAATAAGATAGTAAATAGAAATTAGAAAGAATTAAAAGAAAATTAGAAATAAGAAATTATATAAATAAATTAAAGAAGCCTCTAGAGAAAGGAAAGGTTACTAAATAAAGATAATAAGGAGAATTTAGAGAAATTAGGAAAAATAATAAAATTAGAAAAATCATTTTTATTATTATTGTTTTTATTATATTTATTAATAATATTATAAAATATACCTAGTTTAGTAAAAACAAGAAGAAATACTATAAGTATTAAGCTAATAAAATAGAAAAGAAAGTATAAGTAATAGAAATAAGACTAGAAAAGCTATTACCTTATTATTACTAATACTAAAACTCGAACCTTAATTATATCTATTATTATTAACTGGTTTTTTTCTAATTCCGGTTCCTAAACTAAAAGATATACTTAAACGGGAAGTTAGTTCTTTAGGAACCTTATTAGTAGAAGTCTCAGGTACGGAAACTCTATAATTAATTATAGAAGAAATTATTAAGATTAATATAGCTAAGAATAAGTATATACTAGTACTAGATTTAAACTTACTATTTATAGAAGCTCCTAAAGTACTATAATTTTAGGGAAATAAGAACTATTATATTTCTAATAATACTAAAAAAAAGAGAATTATTTATTATATTTCTTTTATTTATAAAAATTAAATTAAGATTATACAAAAGTACTATACTAATAATTCAGGAAATTACTAGGAAACCAAGTTTTTTAAGGCCTTATTAAAGGAATTCCGAGAATATAATTAGGAAATATTTAAAATTAGCTATAATTTTCTTAATTAGATTATTATATAAGCCTAGAATAAAGGAATTTCTTCTAAGTTTTATATTAATATATTTAATAGAATATTAAAGGAATTATTAAAGAGAAAAGAGATAAATAAAATTACTTAGTATCGAGAATTTATAAGGGAATTATTTATTTTAATAAGGAATTATATTTTTAAAAATACGAATTTCGAGTTTATAAATATTTCTATTTATAAATATAATAAAATATATAAAAAGGTAATAATATCTTATTAGTATAAAAAAAAAATACTACTTTAATATTACTAATAATCTAGATATATTTA